AAACTGCTCAAGAATAAGGGTAAAAACATGTGTAATCAATGGTCTATCACCCTCGCATGGCAAAAACCCTCGGTTGTCCTCCTGTTGGAGGCCCCTGGTCTCTGTCCCGATCAGTGCGATCGAAGAGCCCAGTGCGTCCTCCCTGGCTCTGGAAAGAGCGGTTTGGCTGGCCGCCAAACCGTGGTCCTGCGTGAGTCCTCGCTCCACCACCCCGGACGGACTGCTCGGACCGAGCCATCCCTTGTCCGCCTTTCCAGGGGCATTCGCTAACGAAATGCCCAGGCTTGTTACAGTTATAGCAGACTTTGGGGGGCTGCCTACACTCCCCTGAGTGATCCCGCCCACATTGGTTGCAGAGACCTCTGTTGCTGAAAGTTTGACCAGGCCGAACCGAGCCGGTTTGACGCTGAGTACCCCCAAAGCTATTGGTACCGCTCAGCCTCCTTCTATACTGACTGGGCTGGTCGGACCGCTCTGGCATGCTACTTGCCTTTCTCTTGTTTCCCTCTCGCTGTATCCCTTCTTCATGCATAGCTGTGTCAGCCCTCTCTATGCGAAGAGCCTCCTGATAAATATCCTCCCGACTGTTCCATGCCAGCATGCTTAACTACTTCTTAAAAGCAGGCTTCGGAATCTCCAAATAGTGGGCACGTTGAGATGCCGCATCCTGGAACTGGGGTCCCCCATAGGGCAGCAGTTTCTTGAACCTGGAAGTGTACTCTGCAACACCCTCCTCTCCTTCATTGCCCCATCCTTGCTTGATGAGCAAAAATTCCCTCTTTTTGCTCAGTCCATAGGCCTCTGGTACATAGTGATCCCGGAACACCCGCACCAACTCTGGCCAAGTGATAGCAGGTGGGTCTTCCTGACTAGCTGGAAGGTTGCACCACCAATTGTATGCTGAATCCTGGAACAGGGATACTGTCAGTAGCACCTGATCCTCATCATCTGCCGTCATTTCAGTCAATGTGCGTGAGACCTTCGCCAGCCATTTCTCTACTTCACTAGCATCCTTCGAGCGGTCCCCATCAAAATCAACCACTCCTCGCCTTCGGAAAGCGTCATAATTCGGGGGTTGCCTAACCACCGCGTGGTTAACATTGGCGTTACTTGCTATGCAAGTAAGTAGTACCCTTATTAGAAACACATTAATGTCTTATCATGCTCGAGTATATTGGTGGACTCTATAAACCTTTTCAAATCGGTAGGCCAACCATTTTTCTTGAAAGTTCCCTTTTTATTCTTTAAAACTAAACCTTTGAAAACCCAGATCGTCACCCCAGTATTTCTAGGAGACCAAGAAACAGAGGAATGCCGGCTCTGATACAAAAAATGACACGATCCGATCCTTTAGAAAATCAAACCACAACTCAAACCACAAACCGGTTACTCCGGAGCAACCCAAAACAGGTTTACAAGTCAAAACCAAAAACCAACAACCACAATGTTTAAGATTATCAAGTGAAATGCCCTAAACACTTGGGCGACCTCAACCCAGAGCAACAAAACATAAACACAACCCTTGAGTTTCCCAGTATACTCATGAAGACATGAAATTAAAGACAAATATAATGGGAGGTCCCATCTCGTTACCCAGACCCAGTTGACATCTTCAGGTTAGCCGCGACTGCTCTCCTCGAGTAATCTCCTCTTGATGGATGCGTCCTCTTCCCTTCTTTGCACCTGGTGAGTGAGAAGGGGTCAGTCTCGTCGTTACTTCCTAAGGTCTTTGCCCTAGGCAACCTCCTTACTAAACACGTTATTAGGGGAATGCCTTCCTAGCATGAAAGCCGTTCTCGCTTTCTGCTCTTAAATAACCATTCTTATCAACTCATTTCAACATTAACTCATAAAAGTTCTCGACCTCTATCCTTATCTCAACACAAACACTAGGACCACCGCGTTACGTCTCGCCGTCCGGTGTCCTACCCTAGTATGCCAACCGTGTTACATCTCGCCGTCCAGTTGCATACCCAAACTCGGCAATGGCACTGCGTTACGTCTCGCCGTCCAGTCCATGCCCGTCAACTACTGCGTTACGTCTCGCCGTCCAGTAGTGACCCAACCGCTCGGGGGTTCCTCATACCATCAATCCAACTCTTACAATCATAAATCCATACATAGCACAACGCGTGCCTCCACACTTACAGGCGGTGGGATGCCTCACACACATATCGCGCATTACTCAAAATTAACTCATAATAACTTGAAACAACAGGCGTAAATTAAAAGATCTATGACAAAGATTTTACCCCCTTTATACCCACCTCTAAAAGATGACTCCTCAATTCCTTCCTCGAAGAAACCCCTCCTTAGCCGGATTATCTTGGGGAAACCTATTAATAAGAATCCATTTTCTTATACGACCTTTCTTGATTTAAAACCCCTTTTGAACCACTAGAACATTCTCTCCTCAAACTCCAGTACTTGAACCTCATTCCAATGATCCTTTAACCCTCATTAAAATTTTCTAGAATTAATCCCTTAAAAAACGATCATTTTTCTTAATTATTTTAGTCTTGGACGAATTTTCCACCTAACTAGAACCTTCTTAAAAATTCGGATAATAATTTCCCCATGTCAATATTGAGCCCCTAAACCCTTATATATTATCAAACCCTTAAAAACCCCTTGGAAGGATTTTTATTTAATTAAAACGAATATTAGAAAAATTTCTAAAAATAGAAATACATCTTCAAAAATCATCAAATTAAATTACAACCATCTCCTAGACCTCCCTCAATTTATAAAATTATGAAACCCAGGAAAAAAAACACCAACAAAGACTCGAAACAATTAAACATCCAAAAATACGTTTCTGGAAATTCCCAACAGCTTTGGTGACCAATATAAATCTGTCACTAAAAGCCTGAACGTCTGTTGCTAAAACCTCAGAATTGCACCCTCACGAAAAATCCCCAAATTAATCGACCTAACTCAAGGGGATCGAGTTCCCTTACCTCTAGAACGTGCCTAGGCCTAGGTTGGATGACCCGGGACGTTGATCTCCTCGCTGATCGAACAGTCAACGTCACCGCTAATAAAAACCGAGCTTCGAATTAGTCTAACGATAAATCGCGTTTAGAACTCGCGAAAGAGGTTTGTGATCCTTACCTAGAATACGAAAGGGATGAGATGGGAAATCGGGACCGGAATCGGGAAGGCCAGCGTCCCCTTTTTTTTTTTTTCTTCTTCCTCCGCGCGTTGGGGAAAAACTGATGTAGAGAGGGGTTTGTGGCGGCGTGCTGGTTTTGGGAAAAACCCCAATTGGAGAGGCGGTTGGGATTTTTATTAAGGGAAGAGAGGGTCTGCTGCGCCACTTCATTAGTGAGCTTGTATATTATTATTTTTATAATTAAAGTTATAATAATAATAATTATTATAATATTATTATTCTTAATCAGCGATTGTAACTCTTAGTACGTAACCGTCGATCCAACCGATCACGTATTAAGGTCAAACCTAAATCTAAATTATCGGGGTGTTACAAATATGGCCAAAACCTCCCACCGACACCGCACACGACATAGATATTATCGGTTATGGTTAACCGCTTAACCGATTTTATCAGTTTGGTTTTTAGGTTAACCGACTAACCGCCAACCGATTAACAACCCTAAAATTAGTAACTCATGTTGGAAAGTCTTAGTTCATGATTAAAGTATTTTCTTAAATATTTTGTGGTTATAATCAATATTCTCATAATCGAAGCAGAGTATGAACCGGTATAGTAAATGATTTATAATTTAGGCAAAATACACTTGTATAGCCAAAACTTAATAATAGCCAGATTTGGAGAAATACCACTTATAGTCACTTCCGTCCAATACTTTAACGGTGTTATATAACAGCCTGACTGGACTAACAACAACGGTTGATGTGCCATGTTTTATTGGGAAATAATGACAGGTGGAAACCCATTAAAGTTTTATCCTTTAATTTTAATTAAATTAAATGAAAATTATAAAAAACAATAAATTAATAAAAAAGAATATAAAAAACAATAATCTTAGTCGTCTTCCACCGCCTCTTCACCTTCTGTTAGGAATGGAACAACAACAAGAACGAGGTTACCAAATCTGGAGCTGAGTCGCGGACTAGCTCGCTCTCTTTAAAACGTTCGCGGCACTGCCCTCGATGCGCACGGCAGACTATCAACCGGTCGTCTCCAGGATAAAACAGCTCCTCTTTGTACTCGCGGTTTTGTGCGAAAACCGGAGCTCTTTGAGCACTCTCTATTGTGTTTATGCTCGTTTTGGTGTGTTTAGAGGGGCTGAGGAGGCGGCTATTTATAGGAGGCGAACCCCTAGGAGTATACCCTCTTACTTGGGGAATAAGTCGGATTAATTAAGGAAGATAATTACTTCCTTAATTAAAACCGTCGGTTAAGATAAATCCTGCGGGATTATCCTTCGAATATTCCTTTTTAATCGATTATCCTTAGAATATTCCTCAGAATAACCGATTAATAATTAATTATTAGATAATTAATTTCGTTCGGAATTTCTCCAAAAAAATATATATATAGTCTCCAAAAAAATATATATATAGTCTAATTAATTATTAGATAATTAATTTCGTTCGGAATTTTTGTTCTGTTCAGTCGACATAGCAGCAGCCGAACATCTTAAAATTGTTAGGAACGGAACAACAACAAGAACGAGGTTACCGAATCTGGAGTTGAGTCGCGGACTAGGTCGCTCTCTTTAAGACGTTCGCGGAACTGTCCTCGATGCACACGGCAGACTATCATCCGGTCGTCTCCAGGATAAAACAGCTCCTCATTGTACTCGCGGTTTTGTGCGAATATTCCTTTTTAATCGATTATCCTTAGGAGAGAGGCTCCTATCTTTATACATATTTCACCAAGTAAAACTACCACTATGATAGTTTTTCCACTTGAGACTCTATAGCTTTCAAAGCTATTCATATATACATTTCTAACACCTTCCCATCTTCGAAATCACTGCCGCTCCGTTCTCTCTGATGCTTCATCTCCATCAGGCATCAACGAAGAAATAGCAAGTGAATAAATACAGCAATCTTTGCAAATCTGACGCCGGCGCCGACTCATCTTCCCCTGCTGCTGGTGGAGTCAGACGAAGTAGCCCACACCACTGCAACTGCTGGCGGAGTAGGAAGACGAATACGATGGGGCCACGAAAGTAATCGACGGGGAGATGGTTCAGCGGTGTTAAAGAGGAAGAAGAATACGATGGGGATTCGACGTTGGAAGTGGCGGCGGAGGAGCCCAGGAACGTTCCATACACCGCTACCATTGAAATTTAACAAAACCATAGCAGCCGTCTCTCCCGTTCGAAAAATCCTCTTCTCCTACGGCAAATCTATTCCTGGCTACATCGTCTTCCACGTCCAGTTTTGCGTCATGCCTGTTCCTAAATTTTCTGGGGTTATTTCTTCTCAATTTGGAGATCTTGAAGAAATCCAACTGGGGATCTTGTAATCCAAGAAGAGATAGGCATCCCTCTGATCTCGTCCCGGCGACGGGGTTCTGGCATCCCTCCGATCTCCTTCGTTTGCTGTTTGTAGCCACCGTAAGACTTGGAGCTGATGGTGAGGATGAGGAAGAGGTGAGGGGAGAGGGCTACGAAGCTGGCGACGCCATCAAAGAAGATGAAGGAGAAGATTAAGACTTAAGAGAGACGAGATAATTTTGATTTTCTTTTCATTTTTTTAAAGTTAAATATGGGTGAGGGAGTAGGAGGAAATCAGAAAAATAGTCACTTTTTATTAATTAATTTCTGACATGTAATTATTAAATGAATTTACATTATGACGTGTCACTTTCGACTTATTTGGCATTGATGTGTGTGATGAGTAAGAGCCTAGTCAGCGAACTGTTAAAGAACTTGACGGTGTTACTAACACCATTAAAGCATTTGACAAAAATGGCTAGATTTGTCATGCAACAACTAGAAAATCTGGCTATAAGTGGTATTTCTCCAAATCGGGCTATTATTGGCACAAACGCGCAAGTTTTGGCTATACAAGTGTATTTTGCCTATAATTTATTGGTCTAATTAGTGTTAAACCGCTCACAACCCATTAATGAACCATGCCTAATAAAGCAAAATATGTTATGAAAATATTATTATCATTATGGATGACCAACATTAGATGCTCCATGGTATGTTACAAGTTCTATGTAACTCATCTCGTTATATTTATTTCTTCATATGACACATTAGATGCACAATTGGGCGTTACATGTAACCCCCACCCCATTTCTATTTCACATTCATTCTCACATTCATGTATATTGATTGTAAGAATGTAGAGGTTATGTGATGTGTGCCTATAAATAGATGATCTTCTTGTACTAAGGAATACATGAATAAGAAAGCTCTATTCCCCACTCTTCTTGTGTCTCTACTCTTACTCTTATGTCTATTGCTCTTCCTTGCTATTTTACAACAAAATATTATATATTTACACATATCGTAACCCATTTGAGATAATGGCTCATTTTAAGCAATTATTTATCTGGACGCTGGAGAAAATAAATAAATGAGTGATTAGTATCTGGACGCTGGAGAAAAAAAAGTAATTCACAATTATTTATAAATATTTTAAAATGTAGATTAAATGTTAAATAATTAGTATACACTTAATAATTTATATTTTAAACCGTTCAAATTGTTAAAAAACAAGTTGGTGGCATAGTTGGTAAACAACTCATATTTTGGAACAAGAGGTTATGTGTCAAGTCCCAACTCCCAACATTTTTACATAACAAGCAAAAAAGGAGGCCGGACTGGTCAAACCTGGCTGGACGGTTTGTTCGGTTAACCGTTTGAAGCGGTTGCCTGCCAGGCGACTCAATAAGTGGCTAAAAGCAGCATTAGGACCGGAATTCGATTTGGTTGACGATTCTATCGATCGAACCGAACGGTTTGGTCCAGCTTTATTAGCACTGGTTGAAATAGTAAACTAGAGGACTAGTCAAACTGGGTTGATTCATTTGGTTTCATGTTGAACCGTAAAAAATTGTTTGGTCCATCACTAACCGTCTAAGCAAACATGCCGAACTACTATTATAACTGCTTTGGCGATTCTACTGGCCCTGTCGTTGATCCGATTTGATTCTTATAACATTGTTTTGTATACATCTTATATGTGAGGTATATTTATAATAATATTGTTTGACTCATTGTATTTATGTAGAAAATTAATCCGTAAAAGAGAAAATTTGAACGTGGGATCCCCTTCTATAGAGTGATGAAGTTCTAGAAACTTCCTACTTCCTACATAAATCAATACATTTTTTATAATCAACTTGTAATTTTATTTAGTTAGAAATTGGGCCATTACAGTCCTGTGCTAAGATAGAATAGAGAAAGAGAGGAGGTCTGGTGATCCAATTCTCGTGGGCTTCCCGGTTACAGTTTGTATGGTCCATTGTATGGGCCGCAAAATTGGCCTGTCTTTTCGCAAAAGCTCAATGAAATTTCTCTATCCCATTTTCTCCTGCTATTCCTTCCATCTCCTCCACAATCGATTCTACCTCCGTTCTCTTTCTTTCATCACTTCCAAATTGCTTGAACAAACCTTAATAATCCGTCTCGATAATCACTGGAAGGAGCTGGTGTTGAATTGCAAATCTCATACCGTAGAGCATCGCACTAGCTTCCGCCAGCTCTGGTTCCCAGTGGAAATGTTCCCTCGCCACAGAAGCCATGAGGAAAGATTCCTCGCCACCACACTCAGGCCTGTTCCTTCATTCTTCAGTACAGTGGCATCGACGTTCACCTTGTTCCAGTCTTCCAGCGGTGGCGGCCAGGTAACCCTTTCTTCTCTGTCTGCTTCCACTTCCTTTGCCTTGTGTAATTGAAACTCTTCCAGTACATATAGAGCTTTGTCCACAATTTTCCAATCTTCCAGCTTGTGGTTATTCAACATATGATTATTCCTTTCATTCCATATCTTCCATAGAATCATTCCCAATCGACCGAGCACTTCATCATCCACTCGTTCCATTATTTCACAAAGCTAGCTTCCACTAGATAGGTTATCCCTTGATTCGTAAAAAGCCCTATACTCCGTTGATCTCCGAATCCTAGTTGCCCAAGAACATTCCTAAAATATATGAATTTGTGTCTCAACCTGGTTGCAGTACGGGCACTCAATTGGAGCATCCTTTTTTCTCCATTCTATGTACTTCCCCTTTGGTAGAATGTCATGAAAAAATCGCCATAGAAATTTTTCAACTTTTGGTGTAATGTTCAAAGCCCACAAACTTTTCCAGGTCATAGGGTCGTAGATTTCCCCTTGCCTCTTCGTTTTCCTCCCCCGCCTCTTCGTTATTTCTAGTTTTGTACAAGAATTTATAGTCTGATTAGACAGTATATTTTCCAGATTTCTCTCTACTCCATATCCTTTTGTCCTCTGATGGTTTCCTAGGAATAAGTATCCCTTCAATTCGAGCTCGATCAGTGATATTGAAGTAGTGTTCCAGCAACAGTCCCTTCCAGGTTCTGGTGTCATAGTCAATTAGATGGCCCACCTGATTACTCTCCCCCAAGTCCGACCTCGTAGAGGTCACTTTCCAACCATCATTCGCTCCTGGGATCCATCTATCCTCCCATAAATTGATATGCGAGCCATTCCCTAATTTTCATCTTAAACTCTGCTTAACCAGTTCCCGTGCTGCCATCAAACTTCTCCAAGTGTAACTAGGATTGTTTCCAATAGATGCACCTAGGATGTTAGAATGTAAGAAATATTTGCTTTCAAAGCCCGAGCTACTAGTATCTCTGGATTCTCCATTAAGTTCCAGATTTGCTTCTCTAGTAAGGCCAAGTTGAAAGTACCAAAATCTTTAAACTCCATACCTCCTTCCTATTTTGGTTTGCACAATTTCTTCCAAGCTTTCCATGGGATCTGTTTTCCTCCCTCTATTCTCCCCACCGGAAGGCTGATCTCACCCTTCGAATTTCATCCAAAACCCCCTCTAGTACTCTAAACACCGACATGGTGTATGTAGCTTGTGATTGTGCTACAAACTTAATCAAAACTTCCTTAGCTACAATCGATAGAGTTTGGCTCTTCCAATGTTTAACCTTTTTCTTAGCACGATCAACCAGTACCCCAAAGACAACCTATTTTTGCCTGCCAATTGTAGTGGGAAGCCCCATATATTTTGCGTGCTCTGCTACACGTTTTATCCCTAGGATGTTTATCAGCTTATTTGCACTATCTGCCTTCACACTTGGGGAGGAACTGATATAAGATTTCTGAAGATTCACTTTCTGCTTTGATTCCATCTCATAAATCTGCAAAATTTCCTTTATTTTCCTACACTCATGTGGTGTAGCTCTGGCAAATAGTATGCTGTCATCTGCAAAGAGCAGATGTGAGATGGTTGGCCCCTTGCAAAACACCTTAAGTCCATGGATAGTGTCCCTGCCAACCTCTTGATTAATTTTAGCAGACAGTCCCTCTACACAGAGTAGAAACAAATAAGGTGAAAGTGGATAACCTCGTCTAAGCCCTCGATCAAGTTTGAATTCCATAGATCTATGCCATTTACCAGAATGGAATAAGTAACCGTTCTGACACAATTCATAATCAATTGTACCCATCTTTCATCGAAACCTAGCTTAAGCATCATTGCCTCTAGGAAGTGCCATTTCACCTGATCATAAGCTGGGGAGATGTCAAGTTTTGCTGCCATCACTCCTGTTTTTGCTTACTTTTTGATTTTGATTGCATGTAAACACTCAAAAGCAATCAGAACATTGTCCATGATGTTTCTCTTTAGGAAAAAAGTACTTTGGTTTCCCCCCAACAGTTCAATATTCTCTTCAACCTGTTAGCCAAAACTTTTTCCATGATCTTTCAAAGAACTTGGCAGAGGCTGATGGGATGAAACTCCAAAGGTTTCTCCAGCTTCGTAATTAAAGCAATCTAGGTAGCTAGTAAGAGCCCTGATCACCTCTGGACCTACAACTTCCCAATTATGTTGGAAAAAAAAACAGTGGCATCCCGTCCGGCTCTGGTGCTTTAGTTGGCCCCATCACTTTTAATGCTCCCCATATCTCATCTTCAGTGAAAGGCCTTAAGAGTTCCTGATCATTTCTGGGGTAACCCTCTGATCTACGAATGAAAGAATCTGACTTGTAAAGGGAGGTTCTCCTTATGTGAAAACTTCCTTTTAGTTGTCCACTAGACATGTTTCTACACTCTCTTGACCTGTCCAAACCCTCCTCGAATCATCCAATTGCTTTTTAATTGTATTTCATTTTCTTCTTTTTGAAAC